TACTGCATAGTGGCCGGCACAGAGTGGCCTACAAGCATCTCCTGGCTCATCTCGGTTGCCGGTGCTAAATGCGTGTGTGACTTTGCTTTAAAATGACCACAAATACTATAGCAACACGAGTGTCTTTCAGTACACAGACCTCTTCCATGACAGGCGCACTGAAAAGGCATCTTATCGTGTGGAACATGTGGGGAATTAAATAATACGGCTTCTTCCCCCTCCCTGCCCCCGAAGTGACTCTTCCAGGCAGGCTACTTTTGAAATTTTCCATTAACACATTTTGGTAAAAGGGCACGTGTTTAGTCGTTAACTCTCTTTTACCATCGCTGCGTGACATGGTGCATTTGATTTTGTTCTGGCTGCCAGTGGTTAGTCTATGTTTTAGTCAGAGGCACATAGAAAAAATTGCTCCCCACAAACGTAGCTCTTGTTTGACTGATTCCCTTCCCCCTGGCATGAAACGGCGTTTTAACCTCCGCTGCTCCGCAATCAACGTCGGGAAGCGGGGCGCTTTTCCATGTGGATCCGGGCGGCACTCCCCAGGCTGGACCAGGCAAGAAAGCGACAAGAACCAGGAATGTGCTTCCCAAGAATGTGAGGGCATGACTTTCTAACTGGGATGTCAACGGCTGGCGGTGACGCTGCTCCCTTTCTCGCCCGCAAGTCTGGGTGTCCAGTGATTGACTTGTTCGGAACTGGAGGGCTTTCCTTCCCACAACCTGCCTGCACCTTTCAGCAGACTGCAGGGGAGTCCGAGCAATGTTATCTCCCCAACTTAATGCTAATAAATGTGTTCATATGTTGGACATTCCCCTGGCCTGTTTTATGGGGCTTCACTGGCGGTGTTTTAATGGGCTGGGTCACTGAGACTGATACTAGCAAGGTTATTAGGATTAAGTAACCTAATGAATCGTGTGACCATTAGCGGGCTTTGAAGGAAGGTTGTTTTCCATATTACGTGGTTTTGTGTCTCTTAACATGGACAATTATTTTTAACTGTACCTGGATAAGGATTGGGGGTGGCAATCTTTCCCCTTGTTTAAACGGAGTCTCTTAGGCGCAGAAAGCGGTTTACTGATGTAGCAGCTAAAGAAAGAGGCAGAAGACTGTTTATTTTTCCACCTTGTGAATGCCCAGAGTTGCTCATTGAGCCAGAAATCTTGTCCGGGTTTCCATGACATTTTTAAGAGCAAAAGTCATGTAAGCGGCTCCCTTGTGTGTGTTTCAATTTGATCGAAAGAGACCTAGGTAGAAAGGAGATTGCTCTGAAATGTTATTTGGTGAGATTATTGAGACAAACCCATCCCAAACAAACCCACACCAAGGGGGACTGACCCATTATTATTTTTTAAGAATGGCATTTAGAAAAAAATCGAAGGAGTGTTTTTTAAAAAGAGTTCATTTTTATGTTACAGAAGGAAACAGGTAAGCAACATTTGATCTGCTTTTTTAACTGCTTGCATTGCGTAATGTTGGTCTTGTGCATACTAGAAACGCTTTAATATCTAACTACATTAGGAAAGAGAGACCAAGGTTTGGGGTTTGTGTAATCACAAGCTCTGGTAAACCTAGTGGAAACAAAGTTTCATTATAATGCAGAAAAAATCAGAAACTAATACCTTAGCCCATATTAATGAGCCTCTAGCTCGCTACATTAGATAAAATTCATCCGACTGCAGCGGGTAATGTTCAATCGCATGTTTGCCGGACTGTAATTGCTCAAAAATTGGAAAATCCACCAATTTCTTTGGCTGACTGGGAACTACATTCTTAGCTTTTCAGATGTCACCACTACCGTGCAGAGAAAAACAAACAGAGAGAAAGGGGTGAACCGAAGGCGTCAGCTCTGAAACACGCAGCCATTTTATTTGGTTTTGTACTGTTGGGAAACCAATAAAGTGAAATTTGTCTCCTGCAGCTCCAGCTGGACCATGTTTTGCTGTAGTCTCCGCACAGTGCATGCTGTCTGCTTACTAGTACTATGCAGGGCTCAGAAGCAGCCAGCAGGTTAACTTCAGTGAACTCGGGCGCCATCCACTGTCTTCTTTCTACTGGGAAAACTAGGCAAGGGAAACTGTTGGGCAACAGGATTTAGATTAAAACCGTGGAGAAATTTGCCATTAATTGCCCTCCGGAGAGAGACTTTCAATGTAATTATAATTTATGGATTGTAATAATCACTCGGGGGTGACCATATCTGTAATGCAAATCTCCGTTTAATTAAAACAGTGTTAATGGCTAATTACATTCGATCATATTTGAAATATTTATCTGGTGTTTGTATTTCGGACTGTTCTAACTTTTTAAATACATATAGTTTCACAAAGCAAATCTTTTAAAGAGCATAACCGGAGAGTGGCTAGAGAGGAGGAGGAAAGGTGATAAACCACTGATTTGGGTATGCCCACGTTTTATTTCTTTTTTCCTGATCAGAACTGGTGTTTATCCATTTGCATCCGTGATGATTTCGGTGTGATTTTAGGGTTTGGGGGTGATTTTTTTCTCAATTGGAAGGACATATTTCTACATGGAAACGCCTTACATAATATCTTGCCATCCAACCTTAAAGCGACGCTTTCAAGCGAGGGGAAAGGCAATGAGTCGGTAACAAGGCAATCTAGCACGTCTGGACAAGGGAAGGACAAGCGATTCTTGACAGGGGCACAGATGTGGACAGGGTGGATGATGGGCTGGGGGCGAGGGATTCAGCCTCAGGAACCAGGGATTGTGGGGGAATGTAGCAACAAATACAATTAACTGTTCGGGACCTAGTCACTGGACGTCTTCACGTTTGTGGACAAGTTGGTGTTCCCACCTGAATTACAAAGCAAAGAGCTCTTAATTACCCTGGGAGAGTCCGATTTTACAGTATACAGTGGGTATCAGTGGTTTAAAGATCTCAATGACATAACTTTATATAAACAGATTAATCAGGCCCACGGAAACTTCATTTATAAGCATAAGGTTTATTACTAAACACACACAAAAACTGCCTTCCTCTCTCTCTCGCCCTTTCTAATGACATATCACTGGGTTGTAATGAAGATTAATATGCTGTTTCCAGAAACTGATGACATATTTTCCAGATATAAAATGATATAATTGTACAAAACACCAGCCTCAAACCAAAATACACGGTTTCCGGCCAAAAAAAGCACATAACTATGTGGTTCAGCTGCAACCCACACTAAATGTACATCAATATAGGCAAAGGATTTTCCTTCTTAAAGAATTTATTGTCATGAGGTTTCGTCTTCACTTCGCTCAGCACTGTCATTATCTGATCATCGATTTCTCTCTGACTCTCAAAACAGTTCAAGTTGACTCCGAATTTTGAATCGGGCTTTGGCGGTGTTTGCTTTTAAGAACTCAGTCTAACAAGCGGTCCATTTCCACTAACGGGCACGTTCTTTGTTCCAGGATCACTGGCAATAAACAGAAGTTTTTCTACTACTTCTAGCGCGGCGTAAAACACAATGACCATATTTTCCACCATCCTATCCGGATTCCTCCGGGTAGGGAGGGAACTGGCTCTGGATATCTGCTTCTGCTTGGCTATTCCCAGGAGCTGCTTGGGGTCATTAGTTCCGAGCTCCAGATAGCTCTGAATCATTTTCTTTTGGATGGTGGTTTTAATTAACTTTCTGCAAGATGGAGTTCAGGCTTCTGATATATTGAAATGAAGGAGGAAGTTAAAAGCCCGATTTGTCTGCCACTAAGCTTAATAACGTTTAGGATGTCGTTAGTGTAAAAAATCAGGACCCGTATTAATATTGAGCCCCTGAAAAATAGGGTTCCTTTGCCTCCCCCATCCCCTTTCTCCTGACATGTGTGCTGTCTGCTCTAACTGTGCATTTTAGAAAGTCGTTTCCGGGGTATTAATATTAGAATTCCCGATCCCGAAAATGATCAAACCTGCAGCTTTAGCTAAATCCCGGTCAGGATGATTGGAAAATCCCGCTCATTTGCGGGAGTCATTCATAAGTGCACAAACCAGCTCAGATTTCGTTTCCCCTAGTCTCATTCCCGATATAAAATCATAGCGTGGAAATTAGCCCTTTCCTGGCCAGGATTATACCTTAATATTGGCATTCTTGCACCTACCAGGGCCTTCAACTGCACCTTCCCCCCTGGAGTCCGTAGGCGGGGAAGGAGCAAGGTGTCTGTCTGCAAATGGGAAGGGATGCTTCAATCTGCCTGTCTTGGAAAACCTCCACTTTCCCATACTATGTCAAATTCATATTACTCTTCACACCCTGTTAGGAATTCACGCCTTGGAAACCGCTAGATGCTTCCAGCCACACAGGTACCTCCCTTCAGTGAGTCAGCCAGCCCAGCGCCTCTTTCACTCCCAATTAATAAGACCCGTTCGGTGGACATTTGGATTTTAGCGCATGTAGCTGTGTCCAGGACTGAATAAGGAATCGCCCTACGGCTGGAAATTCCTCAGATTCTTCCCGCTTCAGTTCACACATCAGGCCTACTTCTGTCACTGCTCGTGGGTACATCGTTTTCGGGAAAAGGTTGGGACTGCTTTCAGAGCTGCACCAGATTAATAGTTCAGATGCCAGCCATTTGGCATTAAAAAGCAGATCTGGGTCAGCTATGCGACATCCCGCGTGCAGTCAGCACCTCTGTGCCAGCAGCAGCTGCAGGGAATAGTCGGGGCGGGGAGGACAGGACAGAGACCGATCAAAGGAGATTTGGAGGCAACAAACAGTAAATGGAGGTGCAGAGCTGCATTGAAACTAACACACCTTATATTTTATAGGTTTGGTCTAGGGTTTTCCTTCATCCTTGAGCGTGAAGCACTGGAAAAGGAACTGGGGTGTGGCCTGATGCTGTTGCAATGAAATCAAGAGCAGCTTTGCCATTAATTTAAATGAAACAGAACAGAGCCCTAGATTTTCCATGTACCTGTTTAGCCTGTCAGGTTTTGCAGAGGTCACATCTTCGCGTGTATTTTCAACCTTGTTGATTTAGCACTATTCCCTTGAAAGGAAAACAGTCATTTTCGACACTGACCCTTGCATCTGGATAGAAAACAAGTCCGAAGACTTTGGGAAGGCGAGATAAATATGACTGAGTTTCTTACTGACAAAGGGGTTTGGATGAAGCTAACTGATAATGGCACTTTCACTAAAAGGTTAGTGCAAAGAATATAAACTTCTCAATATAATACTGTACTCCTTTCATTATTAATGAGAAACCATACCCAGCAGAGGATACTCGATGCTCTGCTATACTTGCACACACCTCACCCTGCTCATTCAGATCATGTATTAAATGGAAATCTGTAGCAAAATCTCCCGCCCTCTCATAGGACAGTTTTAGAACAAAAAACTAAAGAACCCTGGCCCTCAGTTACACCAAGTGCAATCATATGGCCCCTGCCCTACCTTCCCAGTGGTTAGCAAAGCGTTTGGCTGAAGGCAGATTGTTAAAATACCGTCTTTGAGAAGGAAGGGTTTTTTCTCACCTGTTTGTTTAGGGAGATGGGTGGAAGGGGCGGTTTTGCAGTCCTCACAATTAGAAGTTCAGAATACAGATGCACGAGGTACGATTGTCCACCATATTTCTGGACCCAAAAGCTTTAGGTAAATACATGTACTTGAATCTCGGGCTGTTGGGTCTAACCTGAAATAAAATATTGGAATTTCATCCCATGGTTCTAAGCAAGTGCCCCGACAAGTTACGGTTTTTAAACGCATTATTTTCAATCTGGCGCTAGCATTATGCACAAGGCCCAGATAATGGCCCATTCGAGCATATCCTGGGGCAGATCCTCAGCTGATGTAACTGGCCATAGCTCCATTGATTTCTGCCTTCCCTCCCTTCGTCATCCACACAATACCCCTCCACCACCATCACCACCCCCTACAGACACACACATACACAAACACTTTCTCGGGATCACAGTCCTCCACCCATCATCGCTTGAGTGATTTCCAGCTCTGGTCAAAACCCTTCAGTTTGTTAGACGATTAAAAAACAGAACAAAAAATCTCTAGATCTGACTTTATTTGATTTCTTAAAATGACCAGAAGTGTTCAGCCTCCTTTATGTAACGTTTGTGTGCGTTTGGGGAAGTCCTAAAATTGGCCGTCCAGTCAATAATCACTAGAAACATGATGAGATGCACATTTCTGGTTGATTAGCTATTTTACAGTATTATATGGATGTATTCATAACAGGGCAAGTGCATGTGTGCGTGAGAGAGAGAAATTTTGGTTATTGTTTTAAGGTTTCAGTTTAATAAACATGACTAAGAGAATAGTACACTCCAAGACTTTTCACGGTCATTTCTAAGCACAATTTTGTCAGTATTGATCCTGTAAAATTTTAAAGGAGTTTGGAAATATTTGTAAGCTCTACATTCATAGTCCATTAAAAACACTTGTGATAGGAAAGGAAACCTGAACACTAATAAAAAAAAAAGTGCCTTGCATAGCACTCTATTGCTAAGAGTTTCGACATTTGGTTTCGGTTTTTCCTATATCAGTCAGGAGTACACCTACGTCCCGATCTTGCATTTCTCCCCAGTGAGGACAACTTTTGAGTGCGCAGAAAATGCAGGATCTGGCAAGCCCCTAAAGAACCGGTTACAGGTCATTTTTTTAGGATGCTAACGTCTTTAGGAGCATGCGACAATTGCCTAGTTTGCCTAATTTCACAGTGAAGATTTACACACACACACACACACACACCCAAGACACACACATACATGGACATTGACAACGGTAATAGTGGTTGTTCTGTTACCTGCACTGTAATATGCAAGTGCGATGTTCAGTTACCATCTGGTATCCAAAACGCCCATTAACCAAGCTGAACCAACTCTCAGCCGAACTGCAGCCCTGCTACAAAACACCTTACTCCTACATACTAGCGATTACATTTTGATTGTTGTTATAATGCCGCAAAAGCCCTGAGCTATGTCTAGATGAGAAAAGAAGCATATGCCCACTCCTTTAGAATTTCTCCTTTTTAAAGTACCATGGTTACTACAACGAAACAATACAAAAACCAAACAGAAAACAGGACCCCCCCGCCCCCAAGTCCCAAACAATCAGATTATGGGGCAGGTCCCACTCCAAACCTTCCATTAGCTGCCCGGAGGATTTCATGAATAGGCCATATAACTTCTATCTATCGTAAGTAATTATAGAGCCCCCATCACCTTAGTATGTGAGAACCTGAGGTTTGCCAATCTGAGATGTAGTTGTCCTCACAATACCCCTGTGAGGTAGGAAAATGCTACTATCCTCATTTTATAGACAGCGAACTGAGGTACAAAGCGGCTCAGTGACTGCCCGGGGGTCACACAAGAAGACTGTAACAGCCTCTCAGTACTAGCTGGAAAAAATTGTTCATATTTAACATGAACTCACCATTACTAAGGACTGGCTGGAGTTGGGGAAAACCCTCGATTTGGGCCTGATCCAAAGCCAATAGGAGTCTTTCCATTGACTTCAGTGGGCTTTGGATCAGGGTCTAATTGCACTCTCAGGTTCTCCTTAAAGACGTAAAAATTGTTAAAGGATACATAAGAGGGGAATTTCAGCCTAGACCCTGTGGCCCTTAGTCGGGCAAACCTTCCCCTGAAACCTTCGGGAAATTATGTTCGTTTTACTCCAGCAATTGGGATTAATCTCCAGAGTAAATCCAGCAGGATTTGACCCAGAGGGAGGTTTGCCTCACTTAAGGAGGCGGTGGGCAATGTAACACTTATTCTTGTTCCCAGCGATAACATTGCACAGCTCAGTGAAATAGACCCCACTTTTTCATTTTCAACCCATCGAACCACATTTTATTTACACTTCACAACTCCAAATACTTCCCCTCATCCCTTCCCCCTTATTGGTTTAATATGATATTTGCCCTCTGTGAAATCAAACTTAAATCCTCAGATCCGCCGAGTGACATGCAGCGGGTATCTAATTGGACGGCACTTATTATAAACCGAATAATTTTGCATTTCTAATTATTTCGTTATTCATCCATGAAAACCTGTGTAGTGACCAATAATGCCCTGCTTTTCAAAGTGCTACTGTAACCGCCCGTGCTTCACCCATAGAGAGATCTGTATCAATTGGCTAGGTACCATGATGTCTCTCCACTAAGTGAAATCTTACCTCTTTCATTTCTTCAAAGGTCAAGTCCCAATTATGGAGGATCACTTTTCAAATGCAATGTCTCGCTTTGCTTCAGGCCTAAACCAGAGATCGTGGAAGGACAGATATAAAGTGTACACTGTCAAAAGCTTATCCGGTCTTTACTGCATAGCACCCCATATTTAAATGTGAACTCCAGTTCAGAGCAGTTGAATTTATCTGTAGAGTTCTACGCATGTTTGCACCAGTCATGAAGACCTGCACAAAAGATGAATTCCTCTCATCTGCTGCCGAACAAGTTTTTAAAAAGTGAAATAAGATATGGATTAAAAAGGAACACAGCAAAGATGAATTGTAATAAAAACAGCATCTGATCTGTCAAACGTATAATTTTTACAGTGAATGTTACAGATTATTATTTAAAGTATCAAATAATTTGATAACTGTTAGAATAGTAAAAGAAAAAGAAAAAGAAAACCCCTCGGAATCTGAACACTACAGAGCAGTAATATAATTTTCTGGGATAAATAACATGAAATCATAGGAATAAATGTTCTGTCTAATCTGAAAATCTGCAGATGTTCAGTAAGTATCCAAAATGCTCCAATATGTATTCCCAAATGACTGCGCCCACCAGTCAATGTGTATTTTTATCTTCTGGCTTCTTTAGATACACATTATAACTTTGAACATCCAGAAACGACACCCTTCTATGGCGAGGCGAATTTCCGCCGTTGTCTTTACCCTGAAACAAGCATCAGAAGCACATGACTTGCTTAGCTCCTTGCTTGCTTTGCTTTGCTTAGCTCCTTCCTAGATTCTTACTATATTAGACTCCTTTCCTTTGAATTATTTTGTAATCAATAAATTGGAATTAACCATTTCCTTATTCTAATTAGTTCCATTGCGTGTGACTTTTTAAGACCTGTTAGATTTGTAGGGCATAAAGTGTGCGCATACTGAAGACATCTTGTGATCAGAGATGCTACTCTTTTTTGCTCTAGAAAATAACCAAACTAAACACTTAAAATACAGAGGTTTGTCCAGCCTTGTCCCTCGATTGTGAACTGGTGTGCTTGGTCTTAATCGTGCGGCCTGAATCCAAGCAGCCGTACACATTATTCGTAATTAGGAAAGGATGCAACAAGGACTGTTGTTTTGGGAGCCTCGGGGGCCTGTGACAAAGCAAATCTCTGGGCCGAATATTGCTCCAAACCAATATGGTAAGAGAATTAAAAATGGAGCTCACAGCCAGCGGTGACAACCACCAAAATTCTACGCATCTCTTTGAAACAGATCAAAGAATTATGTTTGCAAACCGGATGTTCCTTCTACTTACTGGGGTGCTTAGGAGAGAGAAGAGAAAATTAAACTTCAGCTTCAGGACAGGGGCTACTGTGCAGGCCTTTTCCCACTGAAAGCAGAAATCACGTGGACTTCAGTGGGAGGATCGGGCCCTACAGACGTGCTGGAGCATCCTGAGGTGGATTTTAAATGCCTACATTACATTAGGAAGTGGGACCAACATGACTATAACAAAACTTCAGACATTAGTAAGTAAGTATATTCATAAATCACATTTCCCCGGGGCATAGTGCCTCGCTGAGGTTATATACTTTTTTAAGGTGTATTTTTATTCAGGAATTTTATGGTCGCTTTACAGAACTTTATCGAATACATGAAACGATTTCGCCAGGTTTCCCAAAACCTCTTCATACATTTGGGCCGGATCCAAAGACGGCTGAATTCACTTGAAAGACTGCAACAGGATTTGGATTCTGAACACAAGTGGGGTTTAATTCTGCAACCCATATATTGCTTGAGGCGGTCAGGATTTCCAAACAAGGTAGTTTAAAACCCTATTGCATTGGAAGGAGGCTGTTTAATGTTAAAAACCCAATTTAATAAAATACACAGTTTATGAGCAGGATTATTCACTCAAAACTCCCGTGGGACTTTCACATGTGTGCGGAATATAGGACTGAAGGTTATTTGTTAGTGAGACAATGGAAGTTTTGCTATTGATTTGGTAGGGGGATAAATGGGCCCTATTTACTTTCTCACACTGGTGTGAGGGCCCGCTCTTGACGTTTTTATTTAGGCAAGAATCCTGTAGAAGTCTGCCTGACGTTTGCCTGAGTAGGGACTGCAGGAAATGGCCCAAAGTTATTATAAATAGCAACATTTCAGTGGAGAGATGAGTGGGGAACAAACATATTTGTAACAGGTAAATAGACTGTGTAATTAGATGGTTTCTTGTGCAGTGCATTACACATAAAAATGGTGATGAAGAAAACTTTTTACTCTGGATTTTTTTTTTTGGAAAGCATTCCATTGCCACTCGGAACTAGATGTCGTTTAAAATTATAGTTTGCAAAATTCACAGGAATGTGCTACAAAGTAGTTGTTTTCAACCCGCTTTTAAATAAGAGTAAATAGACTACGTCTTCATTCACTAGCTTTTTCTGCCTACAGTGCGCTCACAAATCCAAGCTTAGCAGTGAAAAAAGTCGTATGTCCATTTTAACAACCTCCCCAAAGATCACAGTGTAAATTTACTAGATCGTCTGTTCCAATGCTGAATTGGACACATAATAAAAAGAACCTTTTCCCCCTGTAGATTTCTTACATGAAAAGCCAACTACAGCCATCAAAGCAAAGCAGACAGGGCCGTTCAGAGCCGAAGGTGGAAATCCCAGTGAGTTTGTGGTTACAGGCTGTGGGGCGCGTTCCCAATAGCGAGTCGAAGGTTTTTAAAGAGGCCTTTCAGTGTGGAGATGGGGGCTGTATTTCCTATCTAAATTCCTAAATCAACAGCTTAGGATTTAGCCCAAGAAAGCTTCGCAAATATTTCAGCTACATCCCCTTTGGGAAAACACTTAGATCCCCTTGGCAGCACCAACTCTTGAACCAGGTCTGCTCAGCTACATCCCTACTAGAGTCAATAAAGTAAAATCCCCTGAGCAGCCTGGAAAGCAGAGAGTCCAGGTAATAATATTTCAGCCCCCAACCTCACCACCTTTCAATTAAAGAGGAAACAGCTGCGTTTGAAGCAAGGAGCATGGGAAAGCTTCTCTCTCTCATAATACTCTATTGGATCGCGAAGAAACCGGAGGAGGGGGCTCGTAATGAGGAAGGCGTCTCAGGCCCAGCTGATGCTGCCAGTGTGCAGAGTGTGCAGAGCGGTGGGACAACTGGCGCTGAACTCTTGGCTTGCCTCGTCGTTTTAACGTCTGGGGTGGTTAAAGTCGGCTCGATCCTGCTCCCGCTGTAGTCGACGGGAGTTGTGTAATGGATTTCACTGGGAACTGGATCCGGCCCAATGACTTTACGTTCAGAAAAACATCAAAGAGTGCGTGACAGGCAATGTGGAACACACATGGTAAGCTCAAAATCCTTTTCTACCAAGACGTGTTTCTCAGTGTTTTTCTGTCCCATCCCCACCGCGTCCCTTTACAATGGGAGGGGAGAGGGCTCTAAATACAGTGACACGGTAGCAGGGCTGTTCACAGACAGGAGAGAGAGAGAAAAAAACCCCTTCAGCAAAAACATTAGCATTAACTGAGCAGGGGAATGTGGGGAGGAAGTTGCCAGTTTACTTTCTCCCTCTCCGGGACATACATACCAACAGTGGAGACCCAGTCAATGGAGAGGACAGATTATCAACCGGTAATAATCATCAAACATGGTGACGTATTACCTTGTTGGATCCCTTTGGATTTAACCAGTCTCCACCTTGACCCAGTACTAGCCCCCACCCAGCAGTCAGCAGCACCAGCCAGTCCTCAAGCTAGCATCGGCCCCCAAACCCAGCACCCTCAACCAGCCTGACACGCAACACCAGCATCTGGACCAGCAGCCAGCACTCCATGCCCCACCAGCTCCTGATGGAACCTGGTAGCCCTATACCCAGCTCTAGCAAACCCAGGAGACCTAATCCTAGGCCCTAGCAACCATCCCTATCCACAGCACCCACCACCTATCCCACAGGAACAGTCCCACCGGCACCCCCAGTCAGCACTAATATATGACCCCCCATTACTTGTCATGATCCACAACCCATTGCGGGATTCGGATGGACTGTGGTAAGAAACTGCAGGGGGATTTTGGGGTTCCAACTGGAACAAGTGGAACAAGAACCCCCAGTTTGAATGGTCACAAATAAAATTACTTCAGAAATTCCTCTTGTAGAAACATAAAGATGAAAGTTGCATTTCAGTATGGAATTGGGAAACCATACTGACACTGTAAAAGCACCAGTATTTCAATGAACTTTTATAGTGACCCTAAGTGTATTGAAAAGGAAATCCGGTGTATTTGTTTTGCTATAAGTCTGAGATATGGTAGTTGGAATAGATCATTAGAAACCCCACCATTGTCTTTGATCTGAGGCCCCAATTTTCCAACAACTCCTCCACATATGCTATCACTTCCAGCAGTGAAAGTCCCTCTGAAGGCTTTGAGATTGTTCACCTGATTAAAGATAAGCACCTGTGTAAGTGTTTGCACCATAGGGGGCCTTTGAGACAATAGCTTTATTCCTTGATATAACCTAAAATAAATGCAGAACCTGCACTCCATTACAGGCCACTGAAGCAAATAGGAGTTTGACTTGACTAAGGAATGGCGAATAGGGCCCAGAAGCCTTAACTAAAAGCAATTTGAATAAAATCTTCCCTCTGTATAGGATACATAGCTTGTCAAATATATTCAAGTAAATATTCTAAAAGTCCGGGATTGATACTGAAAATGCAAATCTCATCTCTTTACTCTAGCAGTTTCCTAGAATATCTACAGCCACTCAATATAGGAGGTCTTAGGAGACAAATGAAAGGAAGGCAAGAAACTTAGAATTACGGTCAATACATTTCATGTCCAGAATATTAACCTGCCCTCTGTAAAATTAACCACACAATTTGTAATCATTCATAATGAACAGAATTGTCTTGACTTTTAAAAGACTTTTCTCATTTAAAAAATCCTTGTAAAAATGTTATTGATCTTAATATGCGGAAAAAGGCATAGCCAGCAATTCTTTGATAGTCTATGTCATTTTTTATTAAACATTAAGAGATTTTCAGAACAGGACTCAGTGATTTTATAGTGGATTGATGAGGTTTGGCAGGACATTAAAATGTTTAAAGTTATAGCTTTGAAGAGGTTTCTTTATGTTTCTGTATTAATAGAAAAATCATTTACAAGGAAAAATGTTTTCTTCTGCTTCACTAAAATCTTCCACAAGGGCCTCATCCTACTCCCTCCACAGGAGCCAATGGGAGTTTTGCCATTGACTTCAAAGAGAACAGAAGGGAGCCCCAATTTTGGAAGAAATGACCAGCAAAAATTGGGCCTCTTCCTCACAGAGTAGTACTATTGAAGTTAGCACTATATTGCACTTACTGCAATTTCAATAAGTGTTCCAGACCTGTGATACTCAATTTTAGCCAAAACGGTTTTAGAGTATGTGCAACCAACTTGGCATTCCACCTTTGGGGCAATACATTTGTAGCGATTTTCACTATTTGTTTCAAATCTTTATTCTAATCTCTGCACTATCCAAAAACTAGAAGTCAGATTTACCAGCAAGTTTATGTTTTTGCATGATAAACAGGGAGCCCCCTGAAGTTATCAGGTACTAGCTTAATGGACACCCAGGCTGCTTAAAAAGGACTGAGAGAGACCTGAGTGAGGTGGAACCGTAAGCAGGCAGGAGAATGAAAAGAGCTGTATAAATGCTAAGTATTATCATAATCT